GTATATTGTATCCTACCCACAGATTTAAAAATGATTAAAAATAAAAATTATGATTTTATTTTTTATTTCTCACATTATAGAAAAAAAATTTTTTTTTATTCAGAAAGATGCTTATGATCTTTTTTTTTTTTAGATTATCTAACGTGTTTTTATTATATGATATATATTGACAAATCATACTAACATCTAATTTTATGCATGCATATGTACATATATTATGTAATTATATACCTTTCGATACATAGTTTTGTGGTAAGATATCCTCGATAACCATGAAGAATATAAGGATTGTGTTGAAGATATTCAGGAGCTTCTTTGTAAGGCAAAAGACGTCTCATTTTTTCTTCATCTTCCGGCGTAAGTTTACCTTTAATAGGTGAATCCTCCAATTTTTTGGAGGTTCTACGGTATACCTGAGAGAAATTATCATCTCGATATTTTACTTTTATTCATCATGAATATATTAGAATATATTAGAATTATGAATATATTATTTTTTATAATAAATTGCAATCGATTACATGATAACAGAAATTATTAGATCCGAGTTATAGTTACATAACGAGTGCATTTATATAACGAAAATATTATATTTTGCAAAAATATAAAAAAATATGGAAATTCTTTTCAAAAAGACATTAAAAAATAAGTAATACAATTGTTTTTCTTTATTATAATTTATCAAAGTGATTCAGTCTGTCTGTTTTAAGCTGGATACATTGTACATTTTAAAAATAAAATGAAAGATAGAAAGATATATCACGTAAAATGTGTAATGCATGTGATAAAATAAAAATATAGACATACGATTGAAATATTTTATCCAATAATCACATTGTGAAGAGGCTATTTTCTACAATAATAAAAGTTTAATAAAATAAATTTCTCTGTAAGTTTTTTTTTTTTTTTACTCGTAAATGACCAATAAAGTCAATTACTTTTCACACTCTGTTGATTCATCGTAATTATGAATAGATGATTTCAGGATATAGCCGCAAAAATTTAGTTGCTATCTCGAAAGCTGTTAAGTAGGTCGCAACGGGACTTGCCTTTCATCTCAGTGTGTCAAGTTTATACCACGGGCTTTCTTTCTCATCTTTTCTGTATCTTTCACTAGCGAAATCGATTTTTCACTTCACATTAGCGCCAGTTCTTGCATGTACGAGCATATTTTACTTTTTCCATCTAGGATACCAATACGTTCTCGAATTTGTCCGGATTTAATTAATATTACGTTTTGAAAGTTTTCTGAAATCTTCATTTGATAATAATATTCCACTATCACTATTATCTACACTTATCCTACTATTTCTTAATATTTATATTTCTTCAATTTTTCTATATCTATATATCTATATTTTCTATTGATTATCCAATCACGATTAGAAAGTTGCTTTCATCAAAATGATAATTCATTGAATTCATAATTAAAAAAAAAAAAATAATAAATTTTCTCATTTTATTGTATCTTCTATTAGAATTATTATTCTAATGATATATTTCAGGATATCAATAGTGATTGTTCCAAGATTTCTTTATTGATAAAATATTAATAATCATTTTCTCAAATTTAAAATTCCTATTCTCGGATAATATTTTTTAACTGGAATCGAACGAAAAAAGAATGCTAATGTTAGTCGGTGACTTGTATACTTACGTTAGAAATTCATTCGTAACCTTGATAGACGTGGAATAATAAGCAAAGTATAATCATACGTTATACGTACATCGGTGAACAACCTACATACTCAGAAATGCATATCGACGTTTTGTAAAGCCGAAGTTTTTCAAACAAAAATGGAGCATACTGTGCATAATACAATACTCGAATACCGTGTGATCTAACAGTAATTATGAACTTATGGTCAAAGTGAAAGTTATAGTTTGGAATACGTAAACACGTGCTTGCAATAATTCGTTCGTTAAAAAAAAAAAAATCTCCAACATTTTCATACCATGATGAATCATTTCCACTTGGGGAAAAAAAATAATTATCATCGTAAAAAAATGATTGTAATTATATCGTTGAACGATGTTGAACGATAATAACTTTCACATTTACCTCTCCAGTAAGTAATTTGAGGGTCTCTTGGGTGATATCTGTTTTTGGTTGCTTCTCATGGTTGTTGTTGTGCTGTTGATCGTCGTTAGGTTGCTTTTCACTTTGATCGCTTACTTCTTCCACACCCGCTAGTAATTTCATCATTGAAAAATATTTGAATATCTTCTAGTCTGTAAATGGAAGGATGAATAGGACTATAAGATCTTTACATATATTCAATTTATAATACACAGTCGTGATTATGTGGGATTATATATATTAGCCTTTGACCAGTTTAGTTGAATGAATCAATTCCAATTCAGTAAATTTTCTTTTTCTTCGGTAATGATATAATTGCTTAAACGCAGATAATAATCGTAATCATAATACCGAATAAAATTCTCAGACTATAAGAGACTATCTTGTAATGTTCAAATATTAATATTAAATTTATTGCTTTCAGATCGTAAAAAAAAATATTTTTTTTATAAAATTATATAAAGCGTAAAAAGTTTATTAATTAGCTTTATAACACTTTATAACACTATAGCTTAATTAACACTTTTTAAGTGTTATTTTATTTATAGAAATACAAATAAATTTTCGATAGATGATTTAAAACTTTTGCACAGTATTTCGTTTATCTAAAGTGAGAATTTTTACTTCTCCATATTGTTTTATTTTGTTCCTCTTTACTTATTCTTTAAATCTTTATTAAATATTTTTTAATTGTCAAAAAACTATTAAATGATGAATTAATATAATATATTCAGTATTATATTACTATGTATACACGTTATAAATTTTTACATATAATATATTATGTAAAATAATCTAATTAATATGAATAGGAAACTGTTTGAAGTGTTGATTAAATGTTTTTTTCATAATATCCAAGATATTTGTTATTATCTATTCGACGCGTACTTCTCATTTATTTCTCTTATCTCGATTATATAATTGAAAAATAAGACTTAAAAAAGGAAAAAGAAAATAAATCGATTGAATCGTATATTATCAAAGAAATTTTTGTTGAGGGTCTATATATAAGCTTTTTAAATCGAATAGAAGTGCAATCAAAATATAACGTTTATTTCATTATTCTCATTAGTGCGTTCGAGTTTCATTGCATTCATTCGCATTCATACGCCCAAGATCTTCTTTACAGATCCGCTTTGGTTTCCATATCAATCGACATAGTGACAAGAGTCGTTTTCTAACATGTCGAGTTTTTAATATAATGGCCACTTTCGAAATATTTTTTAAACTTCTCGCCGGATGAAATCTCGTGCACGCGACTATCCTTTCACACGCGAATCCTTTCCAGATAGATATTTTCTATGAAACCGACAAGAGAGGATCTCGACTATCTTGTAAAATTTTCCCGTTTCGAATTTCGAATATTATCGAGAAGGAACTTATTAAATGTCGGATGGAGGCAAAAAATAAAAAGAAGTAGAAATTATGGTAAACAAGAAGTATTTTTAATGACTCGACTTTTTGCTCGAACGTTTCCAATAAAATATCTCTCATATTGTGAGAAAAGAGAATATAATTCTAGATTTTTCTTTCGAAGTAAACGTTTCGATTCTTTTGGTCGTAAACTTTCGAAATGCTCGATAAAGAATAATATCCGGAAAGCTGTACCCGTAGTCTGGTTATTTCGTGTGTTTACAAGATATCTGTTCACTCTCTCTTGCGCACTCAATCTTTTGCGTTTAATCCACGAGAAAGTTGAAGGCGCTCTACAGAACAAGTGGACTCCGCGCTTCCGTTTTTAGATAACTATTGTCGATAATTCTTTTCTTTTTTTTTTTTTGAGATCAAAGTATTTTTTTTTCTTCTAATTTAATCGCATTATATTTTTTTCTTTTTTTGAATTTAATCACATTATATTTATCGTGGAAAATATAAGTGAAAAAACTCAATCTTTTTATCAGTATTATAATATTACAATATTATTTGTGTTAAAGCTAGTTGAGATTGATAAAAAATAGTTGAGATTGTATTCATATATGTCGAAATTTAATTTCTTATGGTTTTCTTGTTTGCACATATTACTTAAAACTTTTTCTTTTTTTTAATATATCTTTTCTATAATTTATATTATGATATAAATACGATGATAAATCTATAAGTATAATGTCTACATGTGAGATGTAAGTTTAACATTTGCATATACAAATTATATCAAAAAAACTTATTTTTATAAATGTTGATTTAAAAAGGAAATTTAAAGTACGTCAAAGTAGTTTTTCCTTAATGCATAAATTAGCGAAATATAAATAATCATGCATATATGTTTAATTTACATTATTTAAGTTTGCGTATGAATATCATTAACCATCATTATTTATAACCATTATTATCGTTCAAGAAAAATATGTAATGTATGTAGACGAATAATTTTTTCGAATAAATCTGTATAATATATATTTTTTAGTTCAATTTGTAATTTAAAATTGAATCGCATAAAATTAATAAACTTTCAATAAAATTAACAATTAATTATAATCAAACTAGCCTTCTTTATTTAACTTTCTTTATTTAGATCAAAATTCATACATTAACGAGAACAAAGTAAAAATTTATATCATAAACAATATTTCAAATAATCAACAATTTAATATTGCAATTATTTTTCAAGATGAAGAAAAATTAAAAAAAAAAAACACACACACACACACAAGTTGAAGTCTCACATTTACAACATTTCTATCAATATAATAAATACCTTTTTCAATATTCATTATTTCTTCGCGGCAAAATATCGATAAGTAAAGCTGGCAACGACTACTACGGTCAGAGTATAAAATATGGTTCGTTTACGTTGTCACGTTATGACCGGTCATGTAACACAATTGTAATTTGTTAGTGAAAACTCTCGGCGAAGAATCAGACGATGGATGAATGCACGCGTTTGTTCGTAAACACAAAGCGCGTCGACAAGTGAACGCGACACCGGGGGACACAGATACGTACCACGCTAATTGCAATTCCAGCGTGATATATGCCACTTTACAATGATTTAAAACGTTCCCCCTTTGTTGAAGCCCTGACAATAATCGCGAACAACGTTTCGTCTGTCTGGTTATCGTTAACATTTAATGCCTACGTACCACTTGACTGCGGCCTGTCGTCTGGTTACGAAGTCCTCGCGACGCGAGTGTTTATCGAGCGATCGCAATCAACGTTTTGAAAAGGTCGCGGCGGGTGCAGC